TACGATTCCAATGGAATAAATTATGACCATGGAATATTAGTGTTTAAGCTTTTTATTATATCCTTACTCTGTCCTAGACATTGGATTCTTCCTCTTGGAATTTTTATTCTAAAATATACATGTATGGGTATTTATATATTTTGCATATGTGTGTATATTTTCCACTAATATATCTATCTATCTATCTATCTATCTATATATATATATATATATATATATATATATATATATATATGTATAGATGGCATGCAATATATATATATATATATATATATATATATATATATCTATTATTATATTTCTCTGACTTTGAAGTTTTCTTGGTAATGTCTATTCTTCAAGGGTTCTGTTTTTAAAAATTTCCAGTTATATATATATATATATATATATATATATATATATATATATATATATATATATTTGGTTGGATAGATGTGAGTTTGTGATCCTGGGTTTCATGCTTTAGCGGTCGTCAGACAAACCCAAGTTTGTCTGACGATTGCTAAAGCGTGAAACACTGGGTCACAAACTCACATCTATCCAACCAAATATGTTAGCTCTATCTCTGATATTGAGCGCTTTTAATAAACACCCATATATAATATATAAATAATTATACATATATATATTTATTTATATTTATATACACTTTTCACACACACACACACACACACACACACACACACATATATATATGTGGATTTTCTAAGCATAGTTTACATGTGACACAAGGCCGAAAGTTTGGAACACTCAAATGTAACTGATCAAGTGACACAAACTTGTTAACTATTACACCACACTAAAATGTCTCTAATATTGATTTTCTAAATGAAGCTTAGATGTAGCACAAAGATAAAAGTATGTAGCACTTAGTGAGGATCGAACTCAAAACACTGTATTAATTGATATGGTGAAACAAGCTTGATAACCATTACCATGTTGAAGTGCTCTCTCCATCTCTTACTATCTCTCTCTCACTATCTATCTATATATATATCTATCTATCTCTCACTATATATATATATATATATATATATATATATATATATATATATATATACAAATATATATATACAATAATCTTTAGAAAAATATTTATCTCTTTAATTAATCTATCCATACCAATTTACCCTTTTTTTTCATACCCTTATACATTTATTTTCTTCTCTGATGTATTTTTTTGTATATTTACTCATGAAAGTTACATTAAGCAGTCAATATTTACTTACCGCTTTGCTGTCAAATATTTTATATGTAATTTGGCACTTTTTCATTGCATATGCTTGGTATCATTATTTGAAATGTTTTTTTTTTTCACGAAAAGCAGAAACCAGCAAATGGTTGATTCCCCTGATAACAATATTTATCTTCAGTTTCCATCAAAAAATATGACGTCTATATATATGTAAAAGCCTCAGTGTTTATATAAACCAACGAATGACAGCCACACAGATAGAAAAAAACAAAAAGAAACAAGTCATGTGACATTAACTGATCAATCGGATTAATGGTCCATTACAATCTCCCAGCTTGATCAGGGGCGGTAACTCACAGTATATTGATGATTATCTGTGCAATTTATCTGTTATCAGTCTCCCTTATTATTGCAATCATTTTTTATTATTACTTTCAATATTCGTACTATTATTACTTTTGTTGGTATTTTGAGAAAATGTGATTAACAATATGGATGTAGCCAAAAGCTTATAACTGAATGGATGAAGAAGTGTTTTTTTGTGGGTCTCTTTTTTCATATTTTTCTCAGTTGTCCGAGAAAAGATATTTGTTTTTTTTCACCAAATAATGAGATCTCATGATTTACCCAATTAACGATTTCATTTAAAATTCAATCCTCTTCTCTGTTTTTGGTTTCATTCACTCTATAAAGAGATTGTTGCTGTGTCACATGTAGCTTTTGCTATAAAACAGTGTCATAGACTAATTGGTAAGACCAGGGCCAGTACGTAGTACCCACTAACCACCTAACTGATTTGGGGCCCTGGGTCGTGCTTTATGACCCTCACTATTTGCCAATTATATAGTATCAAATCACCTACATTCCATCTGTAATTCATCAGTGAGAAAAGTGGATAAAAGGCATTAGTTAGATCCAGTTACAGGACCAAAAGAGTGTGAGTTCAATACCTGGTTAAGGCAGTGGAGAACTTGGAGAGGGGAATGAACAGGAGATAATTGATAATCCATTAGATATGGCACATGAAAGTAGAACAGTCTACCCTAGCAAGCAAAATAAAGGGTTCCGTTCGACATTTCAACCACCTGAAGAAGGCCAGAGCCATACAATGGTCAAAATGTTGTGATAAATATGGCAACAAGGATGAGGATGATAGTCCAAGCAATGTAAATAGTGTACATAATACTTCATCTCAGAAATATAGACAGATACTGTAAGATATACCAACCATACATTTTATAGCAGAATTACTATCAATACATTTTATAGCAAAATGACCAAGAATAAATTTTATCTGTAGATGAAGGCATATAATTGTGTTAAAATTATTTAGAATTTAGCATTAAATAACACATAGAGATGCTGATAACCAACCTACCAACCAACTACATACATATATGTAAACAATATTACATAAACCTACATCATATTTATTATAAAACCCAGGTTGTGTGTGTGTGTGTCTGTACATTTATATATTGGATTGGATTTCCTACATTTTTCAACCGATTTCAACAAAACTTCACAGGACTATGTAAAATTACCTTGCGGTGGTTCTGACAGCACCAAAAATTGGAAAAACACAATTGTTTTTGCATGAAATCAATTTGAAAAAACGATTAAGAGGCATTGCTGTCACTAGAATGAAAGGGGGACAACTCATATCGAGTTATACTTATTATAAAACCCAGATTATTTGTGTGTGTGTGTTCATTTATATATGGGATCGGATTACCTACATTTTTCAACTGATTTCAACAAAACATCACTTTTTTTTGGCATGTAGTGTTTCTTATTGTCTTGCACACTTTTTTCTTTATTTTTACATTCAGAATGCTTTAAAAATTCCATTTACAAGACAATTGTTTATAATAAAATTCTATTCAATCAGTAGACTCATAACGATTGAAAACAATGTTTTTGTTTGAGTTTGGGTTTGATCAAATCGTAAAAAAAACAAACCCAAAAAACTAATTAAGACATGCGTGTCCGTCAACCTTAAACAATAATCTTTGTCAATTTCATTTTTCAGTCTTTATGATGGTCGATACTTGATCTATCTCTTACTGTTACGGGCTCTACTGCTAGTACATATATATACAAACCACTAATATCATGGCCTACTGAGCTGTTGTAATCACGACTCTCCTGTACACCTGTGAGACCTGGGTACTCTACTGAAGAGACATCCACAAACTTGAAATTACATGTGGCAGAGCCAGATCACAAGCAACAAAGTTCTCCTTTGTGCAAAGATGGAGAGCCTAGAACCCATCATGACTTGCCATTGACTTCAATGGGCCAGACATTTTACCCAAATGCCAGATATCCACCTACCTCAACAAAACCTCTTCTCATCTGGCAAGAGACCAAGGATCAACTCAACAAAACGTAGCTGAGGACAGAAATCGATGTGGTAAATTGGGAGCTGCAAAAAGAACCAATTGGGAAAGAGCAATCCATGAAAAAACGATGTCCTTCGAAAGCACCAGGAGACAAGTAAAAGAGACAAAACGAGCCCAAAGAAAAGCTAGAACTCTCTTTTCCCTTAACCTTTCTACCATACCATATGGTGCCTGCGGATTTTCTTCAGATCCAACATAACAGATATTCTTGATGAGCACTCCAATACTCAGCAATTAGTTTCACCAGTAACTGCTTAGATGTAAAATGGAAAATATTCATAAAAAAAACAATAGACAGGACTTGTCGGTCAAATTCAATAAAACATATTTCCATATGTACACACACACACACATATATATACATATATATATATATATATATATATATATATATAATCATTTCACCTCCAAGCAAAGGCAATAAAGCCACTAAAACTCAAGAGGTTACTGACTGTGAAATAATATGAGGAAAGAAAACATTATTAAGCAGAGAAAACAATAAAAGGACAGGGATTAAGAAGATAGACAATAACAATTGAAATTGCATTTAATTTTTTAAAGATCAAAGGTGACTGGAAAGCAAAAAGCTGGAAGAAAGTTCCACAAGTGAGAAGTGTGACAGTAGAAACTATTAACGTACAAGTTACAGTTACATATAGCCATTTTAAATGAAAAATGGTGAGACCTTGCTGCTAATCTAGTCCTGTGTTTAAATTCATAAAATCTGTGGAAAACACATCAGAACAATTACCATGAAAATATTTATAGAAGATGCAATGAGAGGCTATGTTACAGTGTTGGAAAGCTGAGATGCTGGGTCAGGACAAATAACATTGCAGATTGTTCCTTGTATTTTATCAAGCAGCTCTAAATGCATAGAAGAAACAGCAGACATGGTAGCAATATTCAATGCCTGGATGAATGGTAGACTTATAAATATGTAAAATAGATTGTAATGATATATAAATGACTGCCTAATTTACATAGCTAAGGCACAGACTATATAAATTTCCAAGCAGTAAGGATAGGGCAGCTTTTAGTATGCAAACTAAATGACTACCATTGGACTAATAAGGTATGATGTAAATTCCACTTCATAACATAGATTCTGATGAGAAAAACTGTGTAGCCTGATGCAGTGAACAAACATTCTTAGCAGAAAACCTAGCAATTGATTCAATATAAGCTTTCCACTTCATATCAACAGAAAACATTAACCTGAGAAGGCACCACGAGTCACTCTGTATATAATTGTATTCTTTATAATTTGATATATTTTTTGTGGGAAGTGTCTTCGAGATCAAGGATAGAGCAGTGTGGACATAGAAATCGACACTGCATCATGACTAGGAATTTGAAACATTAGGACATGGTTTAAAGTCATGAAGCTGTAGTTTGCAATGCAGTATTTTCTATCTATCTATCTATCTATCTATCTATCTATCTATCTATCTATCTATCTATCTATCACAGCTTGTCGAACAATCACGTGGTCAAGATAAACACTCAGTTGTGGAGCAAGCTGAGTGAATACTAATTCAACATTGAGAAAGAGAGTTATTTATGGTGCAATGGAGCATCTCATTATGCTAAAGTGGGATAGTCCATTGCTTGGGCTGTGATTGGCTGCTGGTACCTGAGTGGAAGTATTTCTATATAAATACCAGCTTGATTTCTCAGTTAGTTTGCAGGGTTTGTATCAAAGTTACAACCTGCTTTATTTTGTCTGCCAGCTGGACGCTAGCTGGGACTCTTACGCCGGTAAGTGTTGTTTATTGTATTGTTATTCTACATCTCCTTCCCCCCCCATCGCGTGTGGGTAGTGGCCTTTGGGGAGGGATTTGTTCCTTTAAACCTGGCTGGTTGTGTGGAAGTAGTCTGGACAATGCCCGAGGGGTTTTTGTCCGTGTTATTGTAGACGGCTGAGCAGTGTTTGATGTTATTCCAGCGTCGAATGTTTGTGGCACTGGTGTAGGGGTCTCGGGTAAGGCACTAGGTCTTGGAACTGGAATTGTTGGTGTATCCAGTTTCCTGAGAAATCGGCGATTTCGTAAGGTAATTCTACCTGATCCGTCAACTCTGATACGGTATTGGTGGTTGGGGAGGGTTTCAATGACCTGACCTGTTGTATCCCATCGACGGGTTGTTGGTCTTTGTAGTGCCACTATTTGTCCTTTTTTGAAGGGGTTTAAAGTGTGCTGTTCTGTTGTATCGCTCTATGAGACGAGCGTTCCGCCGGGACAGACTTATCTCACGATTTTGGGCTGCGGTTATCCAATTCGCGTGTGGCTTATAGAGTGTGGGGTGGGATGGTATGTAGTCACGTAGTCGGCGGTGGAGTAGTAGTTGAGCAGGGATAGCCCAATGTTTTGAATAGGCGTATTCCTGTATTGGAGGATGGCTCTTGCTGCACGGTTATTATCCAAGGATCCTTGGGCTCCTGTGTTGCCATTTATGATTCTCTTGGCTGTTTTGACAGCGAGCTCTGCTCGACCATTGGATTGTGGGTAACCAGCAGATGATAACCTGTGTTTAACAGCCCAGTCTTGCAAAAATTGCTTGAATGGAAGAGATGTGAAGGGTGGCCCACCATCACTGCTGAGTTCCTCAGGAGCGCCGTAGGTTTGAAATATGTCTCGGCAAATCGAAATAATCCTTGAGGTATTAGCTTCTCCGTGGCTCAAGTGGTATAGATTCAGCCAGCCCGTTAACCTGTCAGCGCATGCTAAGTAACCATGGTTCCCAACATAGAAGATGTCAATGATGATTTGCTGAAATGGCCACTCAGGAGATGGTGTCAAATTGATTGGCTCTTTTGGTTGACTCGGGGCAATTTTTGAGCAGAACGTACAACCTGCTCTAATGTTACGAATTGAAGCATTCATCCCGGGCCAATAAACAGATTCATTGGCACGTGCCTTCATGCCAACTTCGCCTTGATGTGCAGAATGTAGGCTATGTAATATTTTTGCGCGTTGTGAGGTGGGGATAACAATTCTTTGATCTAAGAGCACTAACCCGTCGTCAACACTTAGGCGGTGCCTCACTTCCCAGTATTCGCGGATTTCAGGTGCAGTGAGGATGCGCGTCCTTTGGAACCCGTTTTGTATTACTTCAATTAATTTTTTGTATTGCGGGTCGCTGCGTCCCACCGCACGGATAACGTCTGGTGAGATGAGCTCCAGGTTGTCATTTGCACCGAATGTTGCTAATAGGGTTGTTGATTTGACCCAGTCATCCATGTTTTCAGACTCTATGATGTCTGATTGAGAGGGTTCAGCAGTGAATACATTTAGGAGTGCCTGTGAGATGTCTGCTGGGTTACGAGAGACAGCATCAGAGGCTCTGTGCCATTTCCCCAGGGCAGTGCTGAATGGTGAATCTGTACCTGAGGGTTTTCTCCTTTAACCTGAATAATCGAGGGTTTTGGATTTTACTAAGGTCTCTATCTCCGAATAATCCTTTTAGTGGTTCTTGATCTGTAACCACTATGAGATTCGGGCAACCCATTACAAAATCCGACATTTTTCCAATGCCCACGCAATTGCTGCTGCTTCGCCTTCAATAGGTGCATATGTGCGTTCAGCATCAATGCAGAATCTGCCACCAGCAAATATCAGGCGCCAACCTTCAGGGCAGCAAACTGGGGCTTTGTCAGTGGTGCATGAGCAATACTTCTGCAGAAGTAGGAAGCCCATTCCATCTTTGCTCCAATCTGGGGCAAGGCAGGTTATTCTTTCTTTTGAAATGTTGCGATGCCTTTTCGGACTAAGTCAACTATGACCTTCTTTGAATGCTGGAATGCATCCTCAAGGCTTTTATTCCATGTAAAGTGTGAGTCTCGTTTTACGAGATCACGAAATGGAAGCATGACTGGGCTCAGTGAGTATGCCCAAGCGACTTGGTTGACCAGCCCAAACCATGATCTGGCATCGGTGAGCGTTTTTGGTATTGGGAAGCTTAATATTGCCTCCAGCATGGATTTAGAAGGGGTTACACCAGAAGATGTTATTTGGAGGCCCCAAACTGCACCGTGTCTTGGCAAAATTGGAATTTTCTCTATTTAGTACAATGCCGTTTTTTGCGCAATGGAGGAGAAAATCGAAGGTGTGAAAAAAGGCTCCTTCAATGTCATAGAGTAGGGTGTCATCCACGATTTTTACTTTGCGGGGGATGTCTTTTATTACTTCATCATATCTTATGGTGTAAGCATCGTCAGATGCTAGGTAACCTTGTGGCATTCTCAGGTACATGAACCTTCCCCATTCTGTGATGAAGGTGGTGAGTGGCTGAGACTCTTTATCTAAGGGGATGGAGTGATATCCATCAACAGCATCCAACACTGTTTTCTTTTTGTTTAGGTGGCACTTGTAGTGCTAGCTGGAATGGTGACCCTGTATGGTGTGTTTCCCGTTTGCACTGTGAATTCAAGTGTTGGTAGTCTATGGTTCTTCGTGGTTTGCCATTTTTCTTGGCGGTAATTACCATAGTGCTACACCAATCAGTGGGCATGCCGACGGGTACTGGGGTTATGATACCCCTTTTCACATCTTCCCAAAGGGCCTGTCTTACGGGCTCTTTGAAGTGAAAAGGCACAGGAATTGGGTTATGTCTGGCTTTGGGGACTGCTCCTTCTTTGAGATGTATATATGCAGTGGGGCCAGACATCGGTGGGAATTCATCATTGGTCTTGAACGCCGTTTCGGCAAATTGATTCAATAGCCAATTCTTGAGCCTATCAATGTTTTGTTCTGTTGGGAGAAAAGGGAGTTTTTTGGGGCGTATTGGAAGTTGTCCCTCGACTTTGCATTGTTTAGGGCTCACGTCCGATTTTTTTGTGTGTGCTTGTCGAGGGCATGTGTTTGCATTGTTGTTTGGGGTAATATTGTAGTTGTTGGCTTCGGGAAGTCTTTGGACAGTATCCCTACATCAATGCAGGCCGCTTTTGCTGAAGTATAGCCGCTGAATCTTTTGCATATGTATAGGGCTTGTTTTAGTTGTTCTTCCTTGGACGATGAATTCCACGGGAGCCAACCCTGACATACAAGCGTAAAGCCTCCCACAGCTCGGACAACTTTTCTTGATGGAATGAGGTTGTTGATAGTGAGCCCCATATTCAGAAGGTGCTTAAGTCCCCGAGACATATGGTGGCCCCACTGTCAGAGAAGATTGTCATCCTAGTGCTGTGATTTCTGGGGATATTCTTAATTTGTCTGGGATCCGGTTTTTGGCGAGAACTGAACAACATATGCATCAATTTCCCTTACCTGGCCTGTGTCTTTAGGTGTATACGTGCCTGTCGTTTGATTGAATGTGATGTGGGCGATAAGTGTGTCTATGGCGGCTTCATTAGCCTCTAGGCTTTTCCTGACCGCTTGAGCCAGTTTCTTAGCCCGGCATACCCTCGATAGGTGATTGGGCTTCCCACAATTACTACATGTTTGTCCCAATGCTGGGCATTTTAGCCGGCGTGATTCAGTTTCTGAGGTGCCATGCTGGTGGCTGCCACAACCTAAGCAAGCCTGGTGGTTTGGTTTAACATTGCAGTTGCAATAGGTGCTGGTACGGATCGCCTCGTTGGCTTGTGGTGTACCCTTCTCTCTGCGGTATGTTGATAGCCGAGCAGCAGCTGTATCTGAAGCGCTGGCCATTGAGGTTTGGTCCCGCAATGCTGATTCAAATGCCTCAGTATGACGGATATTTTGTTCAAGGGATTTAAGTGCCCCAGCTTTGGCCAGTAGGTCAGCCTGGACTGTGTCATTTGCTATTCCACGGATGATCTGGTCCTTGATGTATATATCAGACAGGTCATGTTCACACGAGGGGCAGGTAAAGTTACAATCAACGGCTACGGCTCTGAGGCGGACAAGGTAACTTTGTATTGGCTCATCAGTATCCTGAGACATGGAGGCAAAAGCAAGGCGATGGACAATAGGACTTGACCTCTGGGTGACCAACACTTCTACCATGTCAGAAGCTTATCTGCATCAGTGGTAAAGAAGTCAGGGGTGTGTGTTGATTATGGCGTTTTGCACAGCCTCATCAGCACAATTGTATAGGTGAATATTAGCTTGGGAGTTTGGCATATTTGTCATCTTGGTAAAGACATCTCAGTCAATTCAGAACTTCCTGAATTGCTGTGGTGTCATCTCGAGATCGAGATGAGGAGGCTTGGCTGCTAGTGCCTGAATGCGGGTTGTCTGGGTGGTGGATTCCTTAGCCTGCTTGATGATACACAGGGCTTCTCCCATTAATTTGACTCCCAGCTCCTTAAGCATAGATCGATCCAGCATTTGAAGGCTCTCGATTGTCAGCTTCTCGTCCGCAAACCTTGTTGCATGAGTTTTGGCCGTCGGTGGATATGCCTGCTTCAATGAAGAAGAGTTCCCAATTTTCAGGTGTCATAGATCCTGTTCGTAGCGCCATGTCGAACAATCACGTGGTCAAGATAAACACTCAGTTGTGGAGCAAGCTGAGTGAATACTAATTCAACATTGAGAAAGAGAGTTATTTATGGTGCAATGGAGCATCTCATTATGCTAAAGTGGGATAGTCCATTGCTTGGGCTGTGATTGGCTGCTGGTACCTGAGTGGAAGAATTTCTATATAAATACCAGCTTGATTTCTCAGTTAGTTTGCAGGGTTTGTATCAAGTTACAACCTGCTTTATTTTTGTCTGCCAGCTGGATGCTAGCTGGGACTCTTACGCCGGTAAGTGTTGTTTATTGTATTGTTATTCTACAGTTCATATCTCTCTAACTAGCTATCTGTCTACCACAGCTGGTTCATAGCTATCTATCTCTGTCTGTCTCCATCTGTTCATATCTATCTATCTATCTATCTATCTATCTATCTATCTATCTATCTATCACAGCTTGTTCATATCTCTCTAACAAGCTATCTGTCTACCACAGCTGGTTCATAGCTATCTATCTCTGTCTGTCTCCATCTATCTATCTATCTATCTATCTATCTATCTATCTATCACAGCTTGTTCATATCTCTCTAACTAGCTATCTGTCTACCACAGCTGGTTCGTAGCTATCTATCTCTGTCTGTCTCTGTGGCACCATGCATATCCTGACGATTTGAAGGAAATATTCATAGATATATGATTTGTTTTTTACGGTTTATCAACCATTTGATAATTATTTAAAGTCGAAAAATATTTTGGGTTTTGAGAATAATTCTTTCTTTACATTCAAGTGATCTGGGAGAAAGAAAGAGAAAACGAAGAAGAAAGAAAGAAAACATTATACGAAACCAGGTCATAAGCGAGCACACACGGGCACAGCTGACAGATACCAGATGTCGAAAAATATCAGGTCAAGCACCTGACCTACTACCGTGTCCACGAAAAATGGAAGTTATTATCAATTGGTTGAAGAAACAAAGTTTAGGGACAATGAAAAATATATTTGATAAGTAACAAGTGGAAAGTGTGATGACAGTAGAAGTCTAAGTGGGTGGGGAAGTGGATCTAAGGATATGAAGACAAACCATTAATACGAAAACATAGACAATTTCCAGAATTGGAAAAAGCCACACAAGATGATGTTCGCTGAAAATGTTTTTTTTTGAGATAATGAAAATTTTTATTATCGGGTCTTCGGCCGGGAAAAAGTGAAATATTTTTATTCGTTCATGGAAACGCCAACAGGTCTGAGAAATCCCTTTCTTAGGTCATATCCAATTAGCGATAAACTGCTTGACAAATACCACGTGTTAAAAAGCTGAGAGCGTCATCTCGGTCGTTCATGATAAGGGCGATTCAAATTAATATTTTGTTTTTTTTTAGCAAGGTGTTTCTTTCCCCAAAACAAAGCCACGGATTGTCCACACCCGACTAAAGACGTCATTGGCTAAATAAGATCACATGACACACGAAGGAGGAGGAAAGATACCCGACCAGGACCTCATTGGCCGAAAGCGGTCACATGACACACGAAGGAGGAGGAAAGATACCCGACCAGGACCTCATTGGCCAAGAGCGGTCACGTGACGCACGAGGAGAATCGGTCGACGCCCTTGTCAGAAGTGTAAGTGTGAGGGTCGATACGAAGAAGCGGGGAAGTTGGTACACGCCCTCAGAAGCATGGTGAGAAAGTGGGAGGAGGAAAGAGTTACCAAAAATGGAAAAAGAGTGGAAAATCCCTAACCAGAAATAAGAAGGGTGGATATGTATTTAGAATTATCGAAGAATCCCCGACGCCAGACAGACCCACCCGGTTTTGACGGGCGTCAATAAAAGCGAAACCCCAACCGACAGAAATCAGATCAGCCACGAACGGCGAGCGGATTGGAGTTTGAGCCGCGGACGGCGGGCTGGATTCGTTCCCCCCCGCTAGCGGGCAGGAGAGGCCAGCTCATTTGGCCGAAGTGAAGCAGCTCGTTTGGCCTAAGTGAAGAAGTTCGTTTGACCCAAGCCTAAGAGAAGAAGTTAATTCGCGCACTGACGGCGGAGATGAGTGACCAGTAATTCAGACTCTGAAGAGAAGAAGTTGGAATCAGAGCAAGCCGGAGAGAAGAAGTGAGATCAGCCGTGGACGACAAGCAAATATGAGCGCCCAGTGTTGGAACCGCGTCAAGATAGCTGACCAAGATTCACGCACACCTCTGGACTCTTCTTCAACCAAGAACAAGTATTTTGAAGAGCGACTTAGAATCAGACCACAGAAATAAGTTTTTTTTTGACTTTCGTCCAAAGACACACCGAAACACAAATTTCTTAGAGAGCAGACAACTTGAAGCCTTAAAGTTGCCTAGTGAAAGCGTCGTGCCACAATCCACAGAACAGGTCGGGAGGTAGACATAGTCCTATGTACTGAGCAAATAGACATAAAAAATTTGTTACCTTTTTCTTTGATACCGTTGGACCTTGTGAGTTTTTGTTTTATTTTCTTTTATACCTAATTGTGTGTTACGGCCCCAACCCCTGTTTGATCTCGTCTGTCTAAGATCAATTCACAACGTGGGTAGGCAGACTGGAGATCAGTGCAGTTACCCTGGTAACCAGGTGTTGGAAGCGGGTTGGGAATGGCGAGGCTGGTATCAATCTAACCAAAGTGTTAGAACGTCACGTTTGGAGCAGTGAGGAGCGAACAGCTGACGCCGCGGCGAAGACGTCACAGTTGGTGCTGCCTTGACCAAAGGATCAGAGCCTGGGGCAGCCATGTCACGTCACAACTGGTGCTGTCCGTGACCAGGATATCGGAGCCTGGGGAGCACGTGACGTCACAATTGGCGCCGCAACCGGGATCGAACGACACAGTCGACGCTGCGACCGGGGGACGACGTCACATCTCCATCTATCTATCTATCTATCTATCTATCTATCGCAGCTTGTTCATATATCTCTAACTAGCTATCTGTCTACCACAGCTGGTTCATAGCTATCTATCTCTGTCTGTCGCCATCTGTTCATATCTATCTATCTATCACAGCTTGTTCATATCTCCCTAACTAGCTATCTGTCTACAACAGCTGGTTCATAGCTATCTATCTCTGTCTGTCTCCATCTGTTCATTATCTATCTATCTATCTATCTATCTATCTATCTATCTATCTATCTCACACATCCTGACCCACTACCCCTGTTCCTTTAGTATTTTTTTCCTTAAACCTCCCCACTGTAACCCATTGTGATCTTGTGGCATTATTGCCTTGTTTGGAGTGAAACAATAAAAAAATGAAATTTCATGGGAAAGACTTCTTAGTCTTATAAATTTTTACCAATTTTACACACACACACATGTCTCTCTCTCTCTCTCTCTATATATATATATATATATATATATATATATAAATAATGTGCATATCTATATCTATCTATAATATATATCTATCTATAATATATATATATAAAATAATTGCATTCTTTTTGGTGTACCTACATTCCCAGTAACTGTTATGCCTGATCTCATTGTCGACTATTTCAAACTTCTATCTTTCTAAAGAAAGGATGTAGAAAAAAGGAATTTTTCTACACAGACACCACATTGGTTCTTGAAAATGACTGACACTGTCAGAAATACTTGAACAAAATAATAACTTAATGTGAACTTTGCACAGTTTATTAACAATTTCAGTTACAATTCTGAACACCTCATTCAAAAATGGGAAGAATACAATAAAAAAATTAAACAGACGGACATTGTCAGTTCTTTCTAATCAAACTTGTTTGGGTGAAAACTTGCCACCTAAAATTTTTCTTATATATATATATATATATATATATATATATATATATATTATATATATATATATATATATATATATATATATATATATATATATATATATATATATATATATATATATATATATATATATATATATATATATATATATATATATATATATATATATGTATATATAAATGTTGTACTCAAGTAGCTTGCATATATGCTCTGTAATATCAACTAATCAAATATTCTAATTATCATTGATTTCTTTGTAATTACTACATTTGTTTGCATATGTAATTTTTAATAGCGATGTAATCATTTCTCTTGCCATCATTATCCTAATCATTGTCTGTTATTCCTCGTAGGTTATTTAAATGGCTTTCATTATGTTGCTAAGCTAAAGCTATTAAAAGTATATTATCTGGCCAAATTTTGCAAAATTGGATCTGATATTTCTCAGATAATATTGGATGCTGACCAAGTTCGAAGTCCAAACTACTTAAGTCCGCAAACAAATTACTCAAATAATGATATTAGTACTTCAGTACTAGATTTTTTTTTTATTCAATAAACATTCATAGTTTTTAGATTAGGTTTTGTTTTCCTAATTACTGGAATTGTTAAACCAATAATCAATCTTGCTCTTCAGACCTGTGACTTGTTGAACAAAATGTTCAAGCAAGCTTGTAACTCAGATAGAAAACTTAACCAGAATCTGCCTCAGAATCTGCCTCTTTTATTTACATTATTTAGCTGTGGACGATCGTTCAAACACTAGGCTGGGCATTACAAGTAGCAATAACTAAGAAATACTAAAAATAAGAACAAGATGAGATATCTCTAGACATGCACAGTAATCAGAACAGTCTATGCCCATTAATTAAATAAAGTGTTCAGTTCAGAATTTTCTGTAGGTTACCCAGAGTGATAAACACCTGATGAAGGCCAGAGGGCAGAATATACGGAATATTGTTGCCACAATGTTCTTACTTTCTCTTTCTTTCCTTTTTTTGTGAGAAGTGCTTGGCTAACTTATTACTAGATCTGTTTCAACCAAGTCTGAGAAGAAGTCTGGAGTTGATTCTTATTATTTATGCGTGGACTATTTTCCTTATCTTTGTTGTTGTTATCACACTGTTTTGGCCTTCATCAGGTGCTTTTCAGATCAACAAACTCCTGATGAAAACTGGGGTCTTCAGCAAAGAAATGGGAAGTGATGAGTTAAAATTCCAGCCTAGACTGCTGTATTCACTTTCATACTAATACATTCGGGAAAGGTATAAATCCATCTCTTATCCCCACAGCTATGGATTAAATAACAGTTTAGCTGAGGCTTTTCAAACTTAGTTGGGAATTATTCTAAGAGAAATTATTGAATTCAAAACCATGGCAGAGGCAATGGGAAATCCCTCCAGTACCTTTCTCACGATATCAATTCAGTGATAATAAAGAAATTTGGGTAGAACCATGACCCCCTAACTTCTGAAGGGAGATAATATAAAAAAAATGGATTTATTCCTTCCCAATGCCATTAGTGCTTAGTTGACATAGTCATAGCAGGAATTTGAACTTGGCTCACTAAAATCATTTTACAAGTTGTTAACGAATATTTCACTGCTCCTGGTTGTATTGTTGTTGTCAAATTGTTGTCACAATTATTATTATTATTATTATTATTATTATGATTATTATTATTATTCCGAGTATTTGATAGGTTCTCATCCTTACTATTACAACACTCAATGCCATGATCTTTACTTACTTCCCCAATACCACTGATTATACTCATTGCAATGATCATCACTATCATTCGCATACAACCACTACCACCACCAATATCAAAACATATATTTTCACCACCAAAAACAGCTCTTCACCACTATTATTATCATCATCATTACAAATCATATTTTCACCACCAACATCAGCACACCAATCGGTTTTCACCACCACTACTACCAGAAGCATTATCAGATCATGCATCTTTACCACCACCATCATCATTGCAACACCTCTTCACCCTCACTCTCATCATTATCATCATCATCATCAGGTCTTCACCACCACTTCTACCAGCACCACCATCAGAACATACATCTTCACTACCGCCATCATCATCACAACACCGGTTTTCACTGCCACTACCTCCACCACCACCACAACTACCATCGTGACACCACACATCTTCAGCATCACTACAGCATCCTCAAACCACCACCATTACCACTACCCTCACCAAACCCCACCCCTCTATTATTATTTCCATAAATACATGGGTTCTGTCCAGAACAAGTCCAGCCATTTGAATATCTCCAGGACCAGTTAATATGACATGGCAATCAATCAAATGAGACCTTATTGCAAATTTTTGAACCAACACTCCCCTGTGCCACTCGGCAGTGTTACTGAGTCTTAAATGACTATTGTGTTTGCAATAACCACATGAGTACATACTTCCTGTCTTGTGCAGGATTTTTGACTAACCATCTTTCAAACAATCCGGAGTTAGCTCTAATGATTGGAATCAAAGTGTGAATGGTTTACTCAAATTACATAAATTTACAGAGCTAATTCTTAAATTCTTTTAGTCATCCACATTAAAATTAGGGAAGGCCAAAAAAAAACCCAGATAACTGGCTCTTAATTTCATAAAAAAAAAATTGTGTAAAAGAGAACATGTTCTTAAAAGATTTGAATTTCACTACTGTTGAGTTCTCTGTCATTTCTGTTTTTTTCCAATGCTAAAATTGCTATTGAAAGCCCAGGGAAAAAATGAAGGGGATTAGAACAACGTGACTGATGGTAATTTTGAAAGAAGACTTGGAAACTATTATGAAAAATAACCAGGAAACCATGTTAGGTCCCCTGGGTTTGGGAAGGGAAATAAAGTGCCATTCCCTAAAGTAGACTATTTTTTGTGCTTATTAAATGGCTGGACAGATTTTGTAATTAATAATCCTGAGAATAATTGTGAAATTCCAATCCCTTGATCATTCCACAGACTCTGTCATCTTAGTCATCCCTTTCCCGAACATCAACAACACTATCATCACATCATCATTAATTTCATACATCGTAAAAATATTCTTACCAATTACCATCTGACCATATAAAATTATTCTTTAATTTTTATGGTCTCTTGCCCCTAGCACCTCAGTAGTATGGTTTTGATTTACATACGTGCCCTTTTTCTTTCTTGTCCTTCAGCATTTTAATTAGACTTTATTAACTTTATTATTTCTCTTTTTTTTTCATTCTTTTATCCTTATTACATTGCTTTTTTTTCTTCATAATTCTCTTCTTTCCTTTGTCATATTTATTCACTTTTTATTTACCTGTGTTTCCTTTTTGACTCATTCTTTCTATCCTTCATATTTCTCTATGTTCTTTTGGTATTTTTATTTGTTGAGATGTTGTGAGTTTCCCGCGCGTCGGTGTATGAATCAAGACAAACACAGTTGTAGAGGAAAATACTGGTATATTCATAAAAGCAATTAACAATAGAGTGATTAGTAGAACGAAGGTTGGTTAGTACGAAACAATATCCAAAAGTCTATAGTCCAACGGTATGAACGGGTAAGCTTATCTGGACTGCTAACGCTGACTCTCTCTCTGACGCTCTGTCACTCTCTCTCCAGAGCTGACTTATATAAGAGGGACCAGTCCATTACTAGTTAGAAGGTGGGTGCGCCCCAACATTATTCCATGTAATTTCATTGTCACTCCTTTTCTTTCTTGCTTTCTTTCCATTTCTCTCTCTTCCTTTAAACTTTATTCCAATTTATTTTCTCTGTTTTTTCTCTTGCCTTTATTCTTTGTATTTTTTCTTCATTTCGATCTTCTTTCTTCTCTTTGTTACTTCTTTATTTCCATATTTCCTTACTTCTGATAGTGTTTTTATTCCATTTTCTTTTCTTTATGTCATTCCTTGTTCTTGCATTCATTCTTTCACATTTCTTTCTCTTCTTTCGGCATTTTATTCCATTTTATTTTTTTGTCTTTCTTTACTCCTTCCTTCACTCCCTATATCCTTCCTTCATTTTTCTCTCTCTCGCATTGGCATTTTCATTCCACTTAATTTTCTTCCTCATTTATTGTTCCTCATTTCATTCTCTCTATCCTTTCATCTATCCTTTCCTATGGCATTTTTAATCTTTTTCTATTATAGTTCTTCCTTCTTTCTTCTTATGATCCTTCCTACAATCATATTTTTCACTTAAGCAAGCCAGTGAGTATTCTTTCTATTTAGTTTGCTTAGGCAATAAAAATGTTGTTAAATATTCATAATTGTTTCTAATTTCCTTACTCTTTCCTGTTGAAGAAAACTTGAAAACAAACACCAATATTACTCGATGTTCTCCTATTTTTGATATATTGTAATTCCCCATGTATAATA